GTATTAAACTGCCTGTAAAGAAGCCGAGCCAACTTAGTGCCTCCACCAATGAATTACAACAGCAAACATGTTCCACTTCTCAAATGGAAGATGTTACTATTTCGAAAAACGAGAGAGATCGGATCTGCTTTACCTCTTCTCAGCCCATTGAAACTCCTGTTGCTCGTAAAACAACAAATCCACCCGTGCCTAGTGCAGTAGATATGACTCCAATGCGGAAACTGGAGTTACAGTATATCGATTTAATGGATAGCTTGGTGGTGCCACCTCAACAGCAGGACTCATTTATCGATGAAGCAGATGATGATCTTGATTGGCTCTTGAAGAGCAAGAATCGGAAATCATGTGCGGAGAAGAAAAATGTATCTGAAAATGAAGTTGTGTTGGGCTATGGCAGCTCGGGATTGTGGCCGCGTGCACAGTATCTGAAGGATGTTGAAGTGTATGCGCTGCCTTACACGATTCCGTATTGAGCTTCTGGCGATTTGTAAATATGCTTGTAGTGGTAGAAGAGTTCATTGCTTGATTGCCTGAGGATTTTTGGTAGTGTTCATCTGAGGGCACTTTTACTTTTTTTTTTTTTTTTTTATTTATCAAATATGGACCTTTAATTATTTATGTTTGAGGCGCAGAAGAAACTTCTGCTGACTATGGAGATGTACTTTACCATCGAAGTTATAAGATGCTGATATTTTCAGGCCAATGAGAATGTCGATCACATTTTAATTTTTTCACTGAACAATGCTTATAAATTTGGTGTCTGTAGTTTTTTTAAAAAGAAAATGTCATTTACAAAAAAAAATTGTGCTTGTCGACAGCTTGAACCTTAAACATGTGGATAACAGGTAGGGATATATCAATAAAACCCGTAGGGTCGGTTTACTCACGGGTTACCCGCAATTTCAGGTCGGGTAAACCCGAGAAGATCGGGTTTTGGGTCGGGTTCGGGTAGAGTTATTCTACCCGAACCCCGGGTCGGGTCGGGAATGAGTATAGTAGAAAAACCCGCTATCCGATCCGATTACCCTACCCGTTTACCCGCAACCATTGAAGATTATATATACATATATATATGTATTTATAAATTATTATAAATATGAAGATTATATATACATATATATATGTATTTATAAATTATTATAAATATAAAAGTAGTCATGTGTTAGTAGTGTAAAAATTAGATTATTTATTATAAGTTTGATTAATGGTTAATTTTTTTTTATGATTTTATAATCAATTTTTGTTAATTGTATGATAAAAAATTTAAATACTTAATTTTTAAATATAATATTATTAAATTGACTATACAAGATAAATAATTATATCTCATTATTTATTCTAAAAATAATATAATAGGTTTTTGTAGTTTTTTATTGTCGAACTTAGTTAATAAATTGTTTGTTACATTATAATTAATTGTGAAATTATTTTATTTTATTTTTAATATGAAACGAGATGGATCTAGTAAAGCCTAAATTTGAAAACTCGGGTTACCCATTTACCCGAAGAAAACCCACTAACCCGCCAGGTAAAACCCAACCCGAACCCGAAGATCACCAACCGAGTAACGGGTCGGGTTTAGGTAGGGTAAATTACATACGGGTTGGGTTCGGGTTTGTCAAAACCCGTACCCGACCCGACCCATTTACATCTCTAATAACAGGTAAATTTGTGCTTGTCAACAGCTTGAACCTTGAACTTGTGAATAAATATGTAAATGGATAATTGATTTTTAACTTGAAAATTGTATTGAAAAATGTGAGTGAGTGAAAACCAAAAAAAGTGGAACCTTAGGGATGTGAAAGTTGGGTCGGGGCGGGTTTTGGCAAACTCAAACTTGATCCGCATTAATTTACTATACTCATATACGATCCATTACCCGGTTAGTGATTTTCGGGTTCGGGTCGGAATTTACCAGGTGGTTAGCGGGGTTTAGTGGGTAAACGGGTAACCTGAGTTCTCAAATTTGGTTTAAAAATTTTACATGGTCCCAACCCGACCCAACTCGTCTCATTGAAAAAGTAAAATAAAATAATTTCACAATTAATTATAATGTAATAAATAATTTATTAACTAAGTTGGACGGTAAAAAAATATAAAAATTATATCATTTTTTAAATAAATTAATGAGAAATAATTATTTATCTTGTATAGTCTATCTAATAATGTAACATTTAAAAATTAAGTATTTAATTTTTTTATTGTACAATCACAAAATTGATAAAAAAAAATCATTAAAAAAATAACCATTAACCAAAATTATAATAGATAATCTAATTGTTAATATTAATACCCCATGAGTACTATATTTATTATAAGTTATATATATTTATATAAGATTCAATTCAATGCTTGTGGGTTAACAGGTAGGGTAATCGAGTCAGATAAGGGTTTTTTTACTATATCCGCGCTCGACCCGATCCGAAGTTCGGGTAACATAATTCTACCTGAAATCAACCCAAAACTCTATCATCCCGATTACTGGGTTTACCCGTCCCAAAAATGCGGGCGACCATTGAAGTTTTATTGACATGCCTATGAATGAAATTGAGTAAAATTTGATTTACAATGTTCTTGGTGATGCTTAATGGTGATATAAAACAATTTTGTTTCCTTTGAATATCTTTTTTTGAGATTGTGATTTATAACAAAATATTTTAAAAAATTATGTGTTACTCGTGTTATTTTATAAATTTTTATGAAATGTTTTATTGTAATTATTATATTTTTGTATATATATTCAATCAAATATATAGCATGTTACATTCTCAAACATTTTTTTTTTTTTTTTTTTTT